TTATATTTGATAGAACTTCCTGTCCTGTAATATTTTTTTAAATGCCATTGAGTTTCTTTATCTGGAAAGCAGGTACAGGTAGGGTCCCTACCCTAGGACTGGCTGTAACATAGCTCACATGTTACAGTGCACATAGTTCAATGTTTTTCCCAAACTGATTTTCTGGAGAGAAAAATAAGTCATTACCATAATTTAATTCAGTAGATAATGTTTAGTTCCTAAATCACTAATGACTAAAGAGAGAATCGCTAATTATACAATGAAAGGCTGTGCTGAAACTTCACTAGGCTTATGTAAATATCCCCACAATGGGCCTGGCTCCCAGGGGTCACTGGGTGTGCTTCAGGGAGAAGCAGGCTGTGGCGGTTGCCAAGAGTAACTCAGCCAGGAGCCTGTGCACAGGCCAGAGCTGAATGGCTGGGTAGCGCGGGCCCACAGTGTTTCCCAAATACACGGTGGCTGTTTATTGGTAACGCTTAGCCAGAGAGAGCTCTGTTCTTCCCATCATGGTCAGCCTCAGGGCTGCATTTATACTAGAGCTGGCCTCTCCCATCTGTGCACACAGCCCACCCTGCACCTCTAAGGAATCAGGGAGCTATTCTTTCAAGACCTGATTGAATAAGGCAGGAAAAAGCAACCCATCCTACATAATAAAAGCCCAATATGCAAATTGACCGAATGGCAGAATGACTGGTGGAACAACCGCTCACTATGATGTGCACTGATCACCAGGGGGCAGATTCTCAATGCAGGAGCTGCCCCCAGCCTGCAGGCCCCAGGCCAGCCAAGGCGGGTGCCAGCGGGTCCCCCCGATCATCCCACTGGCTGCTCCACAGATCAACCCTGATCACCAGCTAGTCCTAGGGACCCTACCTGTGCAAGAATTCATGCATCGGGCCTCTAGTCATTTATAAGGGGCCATGTGAGACAGTCACCGTGGTGTCCTGTCACACTTTTGGATGTTTGTCTTTATTTTCTTTTACTCTCATTCTAACCCAATGCCAAGTATGAAAAACAGTGTCAAAGAGTGTAGAATCTACTGACAACACTTTACCATACCATCTAGATGGGAGAGGAATGAATTACTGAGATTTTCTGAGGCTTCCCCTAGCATGAAGGTAAAGGATGCTCCTGCCCTGGTGAGACTTGCTCTTTTACAGTCACACAGACCAAATGAATCAGGGCCCTAGTGGAGTGCAAGATGCCACTAATAAAGGGCTGCCTGTTGGTAAGGCTGGAAGTGACATTGAATTTCTATAATTGATCTATTGAATAAGCCAAACTACTGAAATATTATAAGCATCTACTTTCAAAGACACTTTGTCAGATCTATTTCTTACCTCTGATAGCAACTTGGGACACACACACACACACACACACACACACACACACACGAGCTAAATCAAACATTAACCTAATGTTCACTGTAAAATTTCTTCCTATGTCCCAGAGTAGGCTTGAGTCCAGGAATAGGGAAGGGGTGGTGGGACTATCTGTCGCCTGTTTTTTCAGTCTCTTCGATCTAGTTTCCCTTCCTCTGCTTATGGCTTTTCCAGGATCAGAGAAGAGAGGACAGGATTAGAATAAAGATACAAAGGCTGTTTTTCTCAACTTGTGCTCTTAAAAATCGACCATTGCAGTAGATTTCTGCCTGCCTCTTTTCGGTGGGGCAGCTCGCCTCCACCTTAGGAATCCATCACTGGATCCTTCCTTGAAACAGGCAAGGTATGGTCCAGCTGGCCTTGTGCACCGGCTCCCAGTCCAGCTCCACCCCAGACAGTGACCCTCTAGCCTTCTGGGTGGATTGGGCTCAGCGAGCAGGAACTCTTGGGCAGGGTCCCTTCAAGATGACTGCAGCCCGCTCTCTTCCCGTGCAGCTCACGCCTGTGTTCTTCCCACAGGGGGAAGCACAGCTTGTCCCCACAGCTGCCTCCCCCTTTCTCTACCAGCATGTTGGGACGTTCCAGAGAACTTTCACTCAGAATGAGTTGCCATTTCACATTTTTTGCTCGCACCCTAGTACACACACACACACACACACACACACACACACACTGTTCAAGGGGTTTCCTTAGTGTCTCTACAACTTGACTTGTGGCGGGGAGAAAATACCATGACAATCTCTAATCCTGTGGATTTCAGCACTTCAGAGAATCCTCATGAGCAATTGACTATAAGATGATCACTGGGACTCTGATCAGTTCCACAAATCCTAAAAAACTGTATCTCATTCTCTTCTTTAGAAATAGGGGATTACTTACCTTGCATTTTCCTCAGCTTTATGGCCATAGCTGGACATTGATGGTAACCAGAATTTGGGACTCAAGTAGCAGCCAGTATTAACATCAGGGAGGGCCCCACTGTGATTGCTAATGAGATGACGCACAGTTTTTAAACCAGGGCTCACATTACAGACCCTGAGGTTAGAGATTCCTTTTCTCCTACTTATCCGTTACTGATTCAGCACAAGAGCATGTACTCAGTCACACACATGAAGTCACACTGATGCTTAAAGCACATTAAGTGCAGAGAGAAGTAGTCTATCAGAGAAATCAGTGATCTCGAACAGAAGTTAATTATCCTTTTTCATACCTAGATAGTTCCTTTACTCACCTTCGACTGTTGCTTTTTTTGTTATAATAAGAAAAAAAGAAAAAGCCATCCTTATAAGCACTAAGAGAGTCTGAGTCTTCAGATATTTGATTAGAGATACACAAAATGTAACACCTTGAGAGCCACTTAAATTATAGAAACCAAAGAAAGACTATGTTGCCTGGCCAGTGTGGCTCAGTGGTTGAGCATTGACCTATAAACCAGTTGGTCACAGTTCAATTCCCGGTCAGGACACATGCCCAGGTTGTGGGCTTGATACCCAGTGTGGGGCATACAAGAGTCAGCTGATCAATGATTCTCTCTCATCATTGATGTTTCTATATCTCCCTCTCCTTTCCTCTCTGAAATCAATAAAAATATTTTTTTAAAAGAAAGACTGTTTCATACATTTCAGCTACTTTCTACTAAACTTACTGCAGGAAAGATTAAGAAAAATATTTTTATGTTCAAGATATTTTTTGACCAACTTTTACCAACTCAAGACTACATATGTGTGTAAACATATATATGTTTACACATGTGTGCATATACATGCACACATATATCTTACCTAATAATAGACAAACATGTAAATTAACCATCCCTCTGCTACGCTCACCAGCCAATCAGGAGAGTATGCAAATTAACCCAACAAAGATGGCAGTTAATTTGCATACACAGGGGTGAAGCAGTGGAGCGAAGACTGAAGGCTCCTTCCGGAGCTGCGAAGACTGAAGGCTCCGTCCAGAGCGAAAGCCTGGGTCCCCGGTGCCACAGGAAAACCGGTGCTGGCAGGCAGGGGAAGGGAAGGCCTATTGCACGAATCTCTTCATGCAACGGACCTCTAGTATTTATATAAAATGCTGAAGAAAAAGGAGATTACAAAAGAGAGGGTTGAACATAGTGATTTTTTGCTCATTGTCTTCACAACCAGAAATGCTTATTATTCATGATGCTGACTATATCTTACTGAATGGTTATATGTAGATAAATAGATAGCTAAGATATGTATCTACTTAGCTATCCATTTAACTATATACATATGTATATGTAATTTGCTAGGAAAAATATACTCTCAACACACAAATGTATAATTTAATTAACTAATTAATTATATAATTTCCAATCGACTGAGAGACAGGGAAAACCATAGGTTTGAGAAGCAGATCATGAATAACTGTAACCACAGGCATCGGAGCAGTCCTCCCTCCTCTTACCAGGCTTAGGGACGATGAGCTGTACACTGGTGTGGGCATTCCCAGCCTCATTCTCAGCCACACACTGATAAAAGCCCTCATCCGACTTGACCACTCCAAGGATCCGCAAGTTGCTTCCTCCCTAGAGAGAAGAAAAGGCAAAGTGAAATATTTTAAAAAGAAAAAAAACTCGAAGAAAAAATGAACATAAACACATTTTAATAAAACTTCTAGAAGAAACAAGAAGGGAGGCCATGAGCATCCCAGCCTCACAGATATGTCCTGTGTCACCTGGGAAAGTCAGAGCTTCTGAATACTGTGCTGAATCCCAGGGCATCAACTTGACCTAGTTCTGCAATGAAAAATCTACTTCCCAAAATACACAACCTCCTCAGTGTCCAAAAGAGCAGTAAACAGAAAACTCTTCTATTAGGTACAGAAGAAGCAAAGGGTAGCAACAAAAGAAATCTCATTCTTTGACTTGTTTTTGAAAGAAGCTGGGGTTCAAAATAGCATAACAAAAACAATACCGTGTGTGCACACACATACACACATACACACACACACACAGAAACAAAACACCCCTCTTTGCAGCTTCTAAGGGACAAGAAATCACGGGTAGATATTTCCTAGAATTGTTTATTGAGAAAATATGTCTGAAAATCTTTTGAAATTTTCATTGCCTTGACATGTACAATTTCGGAATTTGTAGGGGAGCTGGGTGGATATTTTATGCCCATTGCATCCTGTTATATGACTATAATGTTTCACCTTCAGTAATCAATAAATTACAGAAAGCAAGGTTATCATTTATTTCATATAAGTCGAGCCACCATCTTTTTTAAGGATGGATGGTAAAATGAACTGGAGAGAGCATTTAATTATACTAACTCAGTTTATCTTTCATATTAGTGCAAGAATTAGTTCAGTAAGTGAGACGTGTTGAATCACTTTCCCTGAAGTCATTAAGAGATAAATATTACCTCGTGGGGAATTCTTAATTGTTTTTAGTCTCCTGTAGTTGGTTCTTGGCTGATTTAAAATTCTTAGATAAAGCTGACTAACTTCTAATTAAAAATTCACATGTAAGTTACTATCTGTGCTAAATGTTACCTGTACAACAGACAATGGCTCTCTGATTTCTGGAGCGATTGGGGAAATATTTTTAAGCACAATTTAATGTGAATGGGGCTCCTACGATACATTTTCTTTTCACCTTAAGAAAAGAAACACTGAAAGAGATTGGCTGTAATGAGTCATGCTGGGAGAAAGATTATTCAAACTGTAGAAAAACATAAATGTTGCATTTTATCATGTGTCCTTAAGGGCACTCAGTAATTTCTTTTATGTGCAAGTAGCATATATTTTAGGCATAAACAACAAGTTGCCCCTTGGCAGGCCATTTTTAATTCAGTGGTAGTCGAAATAGCATCATACTTAAAGGAACTAATGGATTGGTGTGACATTCAAAAGTTAAAAATTTTCCCTTTCTTACTCTATTCCCAAGCAATTAAACAAATGCGACTAAAAGTGGAAGAAAATAAGTGGTGATAAAAGTGACAAAATTCTTTTTATGGGTTTAGCCCTTAAGAACCCTTATAGTATGGCATAACGCAGGCACGGAGAGGCCATGGAAGTTCCTGAAAGTTGACTGATCATGGCAAAGGGATCCAGCATGGAGAGCCCGGGGGAGGGGGGGGGGCAGGGGCGGAAGGCCATGGAGAGTGCTTGAGCCTCAGCCCAGAGGGCACCTATGTTCCAGCCCCATTCTATGGGGAGACCTGGCTTAGAAGAACACTCTTTTTTGACAGATGTGAACCCCACATACCTTTCTTTGGCTGCAAACGTTCTTTAACATTTGGAAAGTGTTTCTCATATGTTTATATGTGTGAATTCAGAACATCCAATGCTAACCGACATCTCAAGGACAGTTTTCATAGAGCATTTACCATTGAGCAAAGATTTCTGCTGGTAACAGTCAAAATAACAACAATAATATAGCATTGAGCTTTCACTATGAACAGGACAACAACTCAGTAACTAAGGTACCATTGCCCCTATTACTCCCACAAGGATAGGAACCTAGTGAGTACGGAGACTTAGAGTAAATGAGAACTACTGTTCTTAGCTTTAAAATGTTCAAAATTATAACGCAATGTCCACTCTGGCTTCTCTGCCACAGCCACTACCAACCACCATCACTGTCAGCATCACCCTGCCCTGTGCACCCTCGCGGAAGCTCAGCTGGTCCTCGCTGGAAGGGAAGCTGCCTGTATCACCCAAGTAAGACTGCCGCAACCACAGTAGCACATCTAGTGAAACTCCATTACAATAGGTAAGTGTCGGCAGTAACGGATTCCTGGCTTCACACAGTCCAGAGCAGGGTCGGAAACTGTTTTCCCAAGAACAGCAATGAGAACACTTGGAAATAAGTCCTAAGTCCTCGTTTAAAACCTTGTCTGTTAAAAACAAAAAGGGGTGGGGGAGGCTGGCTTGTGTGCTCAGTGGTTGGAGTATCAGCATGCAGGCAGACCAGAGGTCTTGCGTTTGATTCACAATCAAAAGCATGTTTGATCTTTGGCCCCAGTCGGGGTATATGAGGAAGGCAACCAATCTCTCTCTCTCTCTCTCTCTTTCTCTCTCTCTCTCTCTCTCTC